TGTAGACACTACTACAAAAATGGAAAACTATGACGCCTATTTAACAACGGTAAAATTAAAAAGCGTCGTGTTTTTAAAAAATCACGAAAAACCACGACAGTTCCACCTAAAAACATCATGTTTTAAAAGGCGCTGGCAAAAATTACGATGGTTACTTATAAACCCCGTCATGCTTTAAAATGCGCTCGACAAAAAGTTCACTTAAGTATTCGCTAAAAGGCAACTCTCACCACACTCTCTCGCGACCCTTAGAAACCCTCTCTCTCTCTACTCCCTTTCCCATCGCTGAAACACCATCTCCATCGCACTGTCCAGATTGCTCGCCATCCAGGTCACAGATCTCGCCATCCAGTTCACTGAGGTCGCCGTATCCCTTGAGTCCAAGTTACTGAGGTCACCAAAAGTATCACCTCCACAATCTTCACGATCTCCTTCATGAGGCCTCCTTCGAGCCCACTGGTCTCTTCTCTTCCAGGCTTCGCCTTCTCTTTGTCGACCCGTTCTTCGATAAATTTGAGATGATGAAAATCGCTTGATTCGTTTTTGAAGATCTCGTTGATTTCGTTGTGGTTGTGGCCGTTTTAGCCACTGATGCCGACGATTTCTTATTAGATTAACGAGATCGATGATTAGGTTGGAGAATGCACGAAACGCAGCGTTTGATTTACGCGGGTGTATTTTTGGTGGCTTTGTTTTGCAGGATTTGATTTGAGAATCGGAGATGGAAGATTAGAGGTTGTAGGAGGAGGAGGATATTGAGACTGTGTTGAGGTGTTAGGCTGTGTTGGAACAATGTTCGACAAGAATGAGAATCATCATACGGTTCCAGTCTCGATGATGTTGAAGCATGAATTGGCTAATGGGAAGGTTGAGAGACCTCAGATTGTGCGCGGTTAGGTGAGTCAGAGCAAGAAGGGGGAGGATTTTACGCTGGTAAAGACGGAATGTCAAAGAGTTGTGCGAGATGGAGTTTCTACATATTCAGTTTTTGGGTATTCTCTCTCTCTCTCTCTCTCTCTCTCTCTCTCTCTCTCTCTCTTTTTCTCTGTTTCTTCAGTTTTTTAAATATTTTTTACCTAGTCTGCCATTTATATTGAAGACTATGTATAATTGGCTAAGAAGTTTATATTTGATGTTAATCAAAGGGGAAAATATTGTCACCCAACGGTTTGCTTAAGTTTGTTGATCAGCTGGTCTTGGTGGATTTTTGTTGACTTGCTTTCTCTCGTTTGTCTTTTGACATATGTAGCTAATTTATGATGCTTAATCACTTATCATAAGCTCTATTTCATGTTTACATAAACTAGATGTATTTGAATATGCACCATAGGAGAAGCAATCTGCATTTCATCGAACATTGTTTGTTTTTATGTGTATGTCAATGCTGTGTCTACGTCGAGATCAACATGAACAATGGAAACGCCATCAGGACAAGCCTTCTAGAAGGTATTGTTCTTCCTATGTTGTCTATAACCAAAGGGTTTTTAGTTTTTGTATATGATTATGTAATGTTTTTTTTACACAGAAGTGTGAAGGTTTTCCGCTGCCAATTACCCTGTGATAATCCTTTCTACTCAAGTGAGCCACCAAAGAAGGATAGTACAGACAAGCCTATTAAGGCTGGAGGTAGCATCTTGTTTAACTTTGCATTTAAAGTTGCTAGCTTTAAGGCTGGAGGTAGCATAGTGTTTTTTGTTTTGTTTTTCTAGTGTTGATTGAGATTTTTGTTTTGTTTTTCTGTTTGAAGTTTTTTCCCTCCTGTTTGAATTTTATCTAGTTTTCAAGTACTTTACGAAGGATTATGATGCTTGAATTTTGTTTTTTTGGTCATATTATAGGATTTTTTATTGTGGTTATATTGATTCTACGACCGTTCTCTTATATTGTATTCTAGATTGTTGATATGGTTCAGAGGAGAAGACATTCTCTTTCCCTTCTTCATCAATGGTGTGTGAAGATTATGTACACCGGATTGGAAGGACGGGAAGAGCAGGATCAATGGGACAAGCTACTTCATTTTACACTGATTGTGATATGATACTTTCTTTACCACCTTCTCTTACTGCTTCTTTTACTT